CAAGCAAAAGAATGAAACAGGATCACTCTCTTAACACCATATGCAAAACTAAACTTAACATGGATCAAAAGCTTAAATATTAGACCTGAAACCATAAAACTCCTAGAAGAGTACATTGACAGTAAATTCTTGAACATCAGCATTAGTAATTTTTTCTGGAAATATCTCCTCAAAGGAAATAAAAGCAAAAACAAACATGTGGCTTCATCAAACTAAATGCTTCTGCACTGCAAAGGAAACCATCAGCAAAATAAAAAGGCAATGTAGTGTAGGGAGAATATACTTGCAAATGATATATCTGGTGAGGGGCTAATACACAAAATGCAGAAAGAACTCATACAACTCAACACCAAAAAACAAATTAAAGAATGGGAAGAGGACCTGAACAGACATTTTTCCAAAGAGGACATACAGATGGTCAGCAGACATGAACAGAAGCTCCGTATCACTATTCATCAGAGAACTGCAAATCAAAACCACCATGACATATCATCTCACACAGATCAGAGTGGCTAATACCAACAAGACAAGGAAAAACAAGTGCTGGCAAGGATGTGGTGAAAAGGGAACCTTTTGTAATGGTAGCCACCTAAATGTCCATCAAAAGATGAATGGATAGGAGGCAGAGCCAAGATGGCAGCGTGAGTAGAGCAGCGGAAATCTCCTCCCAAAACCACATATATTTTTGAAAATACAACAAATACAACTATTCCTAAAAGAGAGACCAGAAGACGCAGGACAACAGCCAGACTACATCTGCACCTGCAAGAACTCAGCACCTCGTGAAGGGGGTAAGATACAAGCTGCGACCCAGCGGGACCCGAGCGCCCCTCACCCCAGCTCCCAGTGGGATGAGAGGAGTTGGAGCGGGGAGGGAGAGTGAGCCCAGGACTGCTAAACACCCAGCCCTAGCCATCCGCACTGGAGTGCAGACACACAGTGCATGGGGTGCTGGATACTAGGGAAATGGGACAGTAAAGCCTACAAGTGAGTCCCCTCAGCCAGCGCCCCTGGGACAAAAGAAAAGTGAGTGCCTTCTGAAAATCTTAAAGGGAGAGGGGCCTCACAGCTGGATGGAAG